GGTTGGTCCAATGCCCCTCACATTCCAGGCCAATAGCCACATCTATGTGGCTGGGACCAATTCAGGCTGGTTTCCTCCACCGTAGCAGCATCATCTTTATCTTCCACAAACTGTCGTTTTGGAGTAGGGATCTCACAGTCTTCCCCATCCATTTTCTGGAATGCTCTTTTCCTGTCACTGTTTTGTAGGGCCGCATAATTCGACCCATATTCATTCACTACTCCCAGCTCCCCCTTCAAATTCGAATCATTTTCCCCTCCAAGTTCACCATCGAGAAACATGGGGGCGTCCTTCGACAATTGAGGGGAGAGGGGGCTCTCAAAAGTCAAACCAGCCTCAAAAGCTCGAACCACCTGCTGGACCTGGCCAGCGTTAGGCCTCAGCCTTCTGCTTTTAATTTCAAAGCAATGTTCCTCTCCCTCCGGGCTAGACTCAGCCGTCGCCGTCACCGGGCGTGGTGCAATGGCCGAAGCCACCTGGATCGGAACCTCCACCCACGTTCCTTCATCAACGACCATCTTGCTGGCCTGCTTCTTAGGTGTAGTTTGTGTCTTAGTCTCCACCAGCTTCCCTTTGTTTTTTTTTCGTACCAACTTCATCACTGAGGGGTCGACGGACAGGGGCCTTGACTAATCGTCGAGGGGCCACACTGCTGGGATGGTCCTCCTCTTCCACCTGTTCGTTTAGAACAGCCGACCCCCGTTTGTCGTCGAGCACCGGTCGGGCCACCAGCTGCTCCGTGTCCGCCAGTGATGCAAAAAGGGGACCTTCATCATCCTCGGACTCATCCGCCTCCATCGGGTATGATGCTCCACATGGTCGTCTGCAGTATCCTCAGGGATTGGGAATTTAATTACTGCCTGTCTGGGCAACTGCGGCCCACCTCTCCCCTTGGTTCTAGTGGCCTGGCGGTCCACAATCCTTGGTGGCAGGCCCAATTTTTTGCTATCCTTGGGCTCACCATGTATTGGGCCCTGCTTCCCTTTCCCTCTCCCGCTCCGCTGGATGGTGCCTGTCATTTTAATCTTAGGCGATCGATGGATGGGGAAACCTTTCGGACTCCGCCGAAAAGTCCCCTGGTGCTTCCGCGGCATTGGGGCAGGGCCCTCCCCACATTTCCCACCTTGCTCCCCGCTTCTCTTCTCTCTGTCAGCGTCCTCCTCCCCCGAAAACACCTGTCGTCCGGCATCTACCTCACGGTCCAGCTTGGGAATAATTTGGGCGCCCCTATCGCTGTTGCTGGCCAGCTTGGGGTTATTGTTTACCCACACCGTTTTGGATTTTCCCTGGAACGGGATGGTGATGTCATCCGCATCATAAATACGAGTCCCCAGTTTGCGATTCGGGGGATCGAACGTATATTCTCTCTGGAAGTGCCCCACCCTTCCGCAATGAAAGCAGAAAGAGGGGAGGTGTTCGTACTTAAGACGCACCCAGAATTCTCCCGTTTCCTCACTAGTAGCCATTATCTGCGATCGCAATGGTCTAGAGAAATCAAGCAGCACTTTCACCTTGATAAAATATTTCCCTGATTCTTGGCAGGAATAGACGCCAGCCTCAAGGACTTGCCCTAACGTGGGCCCAGCAACCCTCATTCCAAATTTTGCAGTGAAACAATCATCCTTTACATCCCAAAGTTGCACCCTAAAGGGAGCAATTGCCAGCTCCTCAAACGTTTTTCGTGATACCGAAGGGGTCCATGGCCGAAGGTGGATGATCTTATCGTTCACCACCCATGGGGTTCGTTTGAGAACCCAGATTTTTGATTCTTCATTCGGGAGAACGAACTCAAAAAGCCCATGCTTGGCTTGCAGCACCTTGATTCTACCCTTGCATTGCCAAGGGGAATTCACTGATTCCCGAAGCTCGAACGTCGTGACCCGCGCCGTGGTGAAAACTCGCCCCAGCAGGGAATGGGAGCTCCGGGCCTTGACAGATTGGACTTCCTCAAGATCAAACTGCACCACCTGGTCCTCGCTGACATGAGCCGCCATCGTGATCTGCACAGGGGGAGATATAATCAATCACATCAAGATTATTCTCACGTGGTAGCATATCGTGACTCAGCGCAACTCGAATAGCAGGGGGGAGGTGGCTTGGTTCATCTCCATCACCCACCTTGAAGTAACAGCAGGAGAACGAAGGTTACCTGGGGGAATAAGGACGTCGGGGACTTTGGGTTGATCACCAACGCTCGCCCTACTCTCTATCGTGATGCCGCACTTGTTCCTTCGCCAAAAGACGAGAGGGCAGTAGGTAGATATAGACCAGTAGGGGGAAGCCGTTAAGAAGTTTTTCCCAATTAGGATTCTTCCCTCGAGGATTTCCTTCGTAAAACTAATTCGAGGGATAGGATAAGGGACTCTCGGATCCGGATCTCCACATCCACCCGCAATTTTCAAATAATCCGATTTTTTCAGAGTAAAAAAAGTAGTTAAACAAACTCCGTCCGTCTCTCCCATGCACTTGCTTTCATTTAACAAGGTTTTTTTTTCTTTCTGATTAATTAGTTAGAAGCAACAAATTAATATGGTGGTATAATTATATTAATTTGCAGAAAGATGTAGACATCATGGTGAAGCTGAACTTGGATGCCTACAGATTCTCTATTTCCTCGTCAAGAATCTTCCCAAGTCATTAATTAATTAATTACTGCACTAAACCTAACCCCTTTCCAATAATAACTTTACTTGAATCTGTAATTAGTTGGTTAATTTTGTGACTGATCGATATGATCATGTGCAGATGGAACTGGGAGGGTCAATGAGGAGGGCGTTGCCTATTAATTACAACAGGTTGATAGACTACATGCTGAAGAAAGGTATATATCAACGATCTACAATTTTCTAAATCAGCAGCTAATGGCAATATGCTTAATTATGCTCTAATCAGAGGGTAATTAAGTTTCTAATTGTGTGGTTAATTAGGTATCACTCCATATGCAAAGCAAACCTTCACCACTACGATATGCCTCTGGCGCTGGAGAAGAAGTACAAGGGACTGTTGAGCCCTCGAGTCGTGAAAGTACTACTGTTCGTAAGCTTTGATCGATGTAGCCATAGTTCATCGATCATCTGTTTATTAACCGGATTGTAAGTATCGCAAAAAAGTTAGAACGTACATCGAATCGAAACAATTGCTTGCAGGAAGGACTACGCCGATTTCTGCTTCAAGACGTTCGGCGACAGGGTGAAGAACTGGATGACCTTCAATGAGCCAAGAGTGACGGCTGCTCTCGGGTACGACGACGGCTCCTTCGCTCCCGGAAGATTCCTCCACCGAACCCTACATGGTACGATACGAGCCCCTCACCCGAGGGGAAGCTGACAACTATGCTGCTCAACGCGCCCGTGACTTCCACATCGGATCGGATGGTAACTGTTAGGATATGACTTGAATTTTATTTGGGTTTGTTTTGTGTTTTGAGCCTATTTTGTTTGGGTTTGTTTTGTGTTTGAACTTTGTTTTGGCCTTGATACATTGATATATATAATGTTAACAAAATCTTCAGAATTATGACTGCTTTCACATTATAACGTTGATAATGACGACCACTCACTATTTACACTAAATTACTAATAACTATGTTGTCATTATTAGACATAAAAAAACTACGTTGTCATTATTAACAAAATACTTTCACTTTTCAACGGGTCTAAGAACTTTAATGATGATGGTCGGCATCGCAGAAAGCTGCGTCATTGGGATGTCGGAGATGCAGGAACTGTAGCGGCGGGATGATGGTAGGATGGCGAAGGTTATAACGGCATGGTTCCATGTCAACGCCGGTTTCTCAGCCACAAGACGGCAGTCGTGGAGTAGTGGTGCCGCAAGTGCACAGGTGCCATCAGAAAATGGGCTAGCAAACAACAAATGTTTTTGTGTTTCTTTCACAATATGAAATTCCGTTGTGGTTGCTTATGAAAACAATGATTTTACTAGTCCATTATTTTTTATATGTGAATGAATTATTTGGATAAAATTAGTTTTAATTTTATTTATTAAATAATTATTAATTAATATTTATATTATGAAAAGAGGACAAGGATAATTTCAAATCCTGCCTCCGCCACTGACAGGTGTCATCAGAAAATGGGCTAGCAGACCACCAAACAGGCTAGGGATGTTGCATCATCCACCGCTCACCAGCTACGTAGGAAAGAGACACGACGGGAAGGGAGGAGCAGCTGGGATCGACAACGGCCGAGATAATGGTAGGGTTGGGAGGAGAATCATTTTTTGAAAATATTAAATAGCCTCTAATATGCTTCATGGGATTAATCCCTGTTTTTTATTTTTATTATTAGCACTTCTACTATGCTATATAGTATTGGTGCTTTAATGTACAACTCAAAGTTGTACCATAACATTAAACGTATAAGTTTAGGTTGTACCATAAAGCAATTTGTACCATTATGTTATGGTACAACTTTACAACTTGAAGTTGTACCATCACATAAAGGTATAAGTTCAAGTTGTACCATAAAAGAATTTGTACAAAAAGTATAGGTACAATCTAAAGTTGTACCATAACATAAATGTACAATTTTAAGTTGTACCATAAAGGCAAAAACCTATAGCACCAATACTATATAACATTGTAAAATTTCTCTTATTATTAATGTCATTAATTTTATATTATATTCCATTTTTGTTCTTCTAGGTAGTTAGTCAATAGTTAATAATGATTATCTCTCTCCTCCTTCTATCGGGATACAAGAGTTTAAGATTTTCCTTAGAGAATGTGATTTAAGGACCACCCGGACTTGGACGGTAAAAGAATGCCGGTGGGACAGCCGTAAAAAATGGTTTCCCGTTCTTGCCCTTTCCCGCATCCGAAACAGAAAACCATTCCATCCCACCTAATTCGTTCCATCCAATTATTGAAGCAGGAGGAAAAAGGCTGTGTCAATTGAAGATTGGGGATTTCGGGCTGGCGGTAGAGACACGGACTCTGGATCCTTGGAGCGACAACTACAGAGGGACGACGATCGAGGTACATGCCGCCGGAGGTGGTGATGTACGGGAACGTGACGCCGGCGATGGGGTGCACGGTGATCGAGTTGCTGACTGGACAGCGGCCGTACAGCGATTGGTAATGAGAAAGGGCAGCTGAAGAGAGAGAGATAATTGAAGGCAGGACGCCGGAGATTCCATAGTGGGTGCCGGAGGATGCCAGGCATTTTCTGAAAACGTGCTTTGTGAGGAATCCTGATCACCGGCAGCACGCCGATTCGCTTCTCCAGCATCGGTTCGTTGCTGATTATGGTGTGATTGGCATCGGGAGCAAGAAATTGGTGTCCTCGGCGGCGGCGGCGGCCGTGATGAACGGTGGAGCAGCAGAAACAGAGATCCCCTGTTGTCTCTCATTTTCCTATGCTTCGTCATGAGTTCTTGCCGCTGTGGATGCCTGCCATTTCGATGTGTTAACGTAACTGAGGATAGAAGCCAATTATTTCTTCCTTTTTCGATCTTCACACTTGGACCTGCATGCATTGCCCTCAAGGTCAAGGATGGAGGGAGCTAGCAGACAAACTTTTGCATGGTTTAGAAGATGGCTAATTAATTAGTTTGGAGAGAATTGTTATTATTGCTGAATCCATTATTGTTAGATACGTATTTGTTTTATGGAAACAAACTTGTCATTTATATCTTAATTCACTTACCTTTTCTTATGGTTAATTGCATGGTTGGTCACTGAGATTACAAAAAACGTTCAAATTTGGTCACTCGAAATATTTAAATCCATTGGTGGTACTTCAGTTTACTGAAACCGTTCACGTTTGATCACTATCCGTCCAACTCCGTTAACTTTTACATACGTGGCGGTCAACTCTAAAAGTTGAACGTAACGTGGCAATTTAAAATTAATAAAAATTAAAATTTTTAAAATTGACATCTCATTTCCGCCTCATTATTACTTTTATTTAAAATAAATAAAAAAAACTTATTTCTTCTAATTCGCTTGAATTTCCACGTTTTACAAAACCTAAGATTGTGCGAAATTCCATGTTTGGGAATGTTTTAATTTTGTGGGATTGTTGACGTGGAATTTTGAGGAAGTACAGTAATACCCTCTTAAAGATAAGAAGCATGTGTTTTATACTAACAATTAATGGCTGCTAGCCTGCTACTAACTACTACTTGCTGCTAACTAAATACTCATTTTATACTAATTAGTAATTAGCAAGTAAAGACCCTATAACAGCAAAAAGGAATTGGGAACCTTCCGGCGAGTAACTAGAAAATGAAAAGAAAGATTTCAAATGCTATCTCCTTTCGCCGTATCTGGTCAGAATTGATGCCCAGCTCACCGCGAAGAGGTTGTTCGTATCAGAATCGATCCCATGCATGTAGATTCGCTACCGGAGCAAAGCAGACTAAGAAGGAGAATTGATTGCATGTGTATGGATTAGGCGAAGAAGGATAATTGATTTCCGGATATGGATTAAGGAGGCGAAGAAGGTGATTCGATTACCGGAATCTGGATTAAGGAGGTGAAGGACGACAACGAGGAAGAACGCGATCAGGAACCCTAGCTGAGTCTTCGACATGAACGACGGGCGGTGGATCTGGGTCCTCGATTCGACGAACTCCGCCATCGATTCCGCCAGCATCAAGGAATCCCCCTGGTCCATCTGCACCGAATCCTTGGGGTGCTTGACATCAGGGCCGATTAGGCGGATGTGATGGAGGGAATTTACGCCGAAGAGGAAGAATGTGGACTGCGATTCTTTGAACTTGATGTCGCAGAGGAAGAACTTGTCGTTGTCGGGGTTGTTGGTGATCAAAGAAGAGGCTAGGAGAGAGAACTTGTTAGAGTTAGTCAATAGAGTTGTAATACGACATTGATGGGAGAAGTAAAGTATAAATATGGAGTTTTTTGGCAGTTTAATTAATTAATTAAACGATTGAATTTTGTGAAAAGAAGTGTCCTTCCATAAAGGTAAATCCCTTTTTTCTGTGAAAGGATGTGTCATTTCGGGAAAGGTAACTACCTTTTATGTGAAAGGATGTGTCTCTTCGGAAGGTAATTTCCAGTTTCACTACTATAAATAGATGACTGCCATAACTCTTTTGATGATGAGAGATTACTTCTTCTTCCGGTTTTCCTTCTCTATTTCACAAACACAGAAGTCTGCAAGATTGCTGCTTCCAGACTTAAAATTGAAGGGACTCCTCGGGGTGATTTGCTCAAGCCTACCAGCAATTTGTAGTGGGGGCAAATAACACTCTAAGGAGAGTGATTAATCACGCCTTCAATCTATTCTTTCCTACCAGTTCCTGACAATCTTAGAGTGTTATTTTAAAAAATGGATTCGGAAGAATGGAAAGTACGTTGAAGGCGTCTGGTTATGATTCCAACAAGTGTAGTTCTCGCCGTCTTAATGTTCGTTGATTTTCGGGTTTAAGATACCGCTACGCCGGAAAAGAATGCTCAATTCGTTGTACCCAGTTCCTTTGTATAAGAGAATTGAAAGGAGACATGGCGGTTAGACATGAAGTACTTTTGTTTCATAATGCAATGCTTTATGTTGGCTCTCGGGCGGGAAATTGAAACGTTGCATTCAACGAGTGACAGGATGGTGACTGGAAGTGAAGCGTAATTCCGTGGTCATCAAAATTGGTAACATGCTATCCCTCTCTTTCTAATACCGATTTGAGAAAGCAAAATATATACATGCGTATATATATGTTTCTGTTTGTATGTGAATGACGCAAATCGGTCTGACTGGAAATTGCATGTGGGATTGGGCAATTAATTAAGTTTGCCATGAAATCCATTCAACGTTAACAGTGGTATAAATCTGCATACAGGCTCTATATTTATACATGTATATATATTGTTGTTAACCACTGTTTTGTTCCACCGTTTTTGGAAAATAAAGAATGGCGTGATTAATTAACCAAGGCAATGCGACGTGTGATGATGGTATATTAGGCCTTGTTAATTAGTTCAATGCTTGAATACAACGTTATGCTTTTGAATCACTATGCATGGTAATTGGTGTTTCCGTGTTTATGGTGTAACATGGTTTGGCACATATGAAGATTGATTGAGAATCAATTTGGTGATCATGAAAACCATTCGGTTTGATTAAGTGATCAAATATTTTTGTAGTACTTGAGATGAGAACAAACTCATAATTCATATTATGAGAAGAGTTCAAGAAAATTCAACTGTGTTTGAATTTGGATGAGTTTCAATTTTGATGCTTGCAAGATGGAACAATTTTGTTTAGATAACAAAATTGTTTGAGTAGTGATCTTGAAGTAAATTGAAAATGGTGAAATATGTCCCCGACATGATAATTTGTTTATCATGTATACGGTTATGACTTCATGTTTCATATGCCATGAGGGCAAAGAAAATGAAATTAAGATGGATCCTTATAGGGATTGAATAAGCTTGTCAAGGAATGATAATCATGAAAATAGTCATCATCAGAATTGTTTATGGTATATGTACACTATACAATTGGAAAACAATTTGACTTGTGATTATGAATGTGAAGCTATTTGTCAGAATTGTTTATGGTATATATAGACATATACCATTGGCAAACAATTTGGCATGAGAGATAATTGAGACGAGTTTATTGAACTTGAAGTCTGAATTACTTATGGTATATGTGTAAATTTATACCATTGGCAAGTAATTAGACCATTGACTTAGAATATTCATTTGAATTGCTTGTGGTATGCCAAGTTACCTTCATGAAATGTCATTGGTAAGTAATTAGATGGTATTTCCAATCCAAACTGGAAATGCAACTGAATTACTTGTGGCATCTCAAATTGCCTTGACTAATACCATTGGTAAGTAATTAGATGATATTTCTAATAATATCTGAATTGTTTGTGGTATGCTAATCTAATTAGTTCATATCACTGGTAAACAACTAGATCAATGTAGTGGTTGAAAGTTCAATAAGTAAAACCATGGAAAATAAAATATGATAGTTCGGCAAGTGGTAGAATTGTGGGGGAGTTGTTTATGATGCTAGTTGGATAACGAGTAATAGTGATAATAAATCTACAACGAGTAGATTTTTACACTAGGTGATAGAGTTGTTTCTTGACTTTGAAGAAACAAAAGTGTGTTACACACTCCACTACGTAAAATGAATTTTTAGCCCTTCCGGCGGTTGGAAAAGAGGCAGATGGCTAAGAAACATGTTGTTATATAAAGAGTTGTGGCCACAACCGATGTTAGCCATTTCTGTCTATTGTGATAGTGAGGCTACTTTGTCTAAAGTTTATAGCAAGATTTACAATGGTAAGTCTAGACATAATAGCCTAAGACATGGTTACGTTAGATATTTGATTATTAATGTAATCATTTCTATTGTGTATGTAAGATCAAGCAATAATTTGGTAGATCCTCTTGCCAAGGGATAGCCAAGAGGCATGATCTATGAGACATCCCAAGGGATGAGATTAAGACCTTTTGTGTAGTTAGAAGTAACGGGAACCCAACCTTTTCTTTAGGTATTCACTAATTAAATGGTTCAATGTGGTAATAACAAGTTACTCTAACAGAGGCACTAATTTATTGTACAAGTAAATTAGTCCAAAGAAGGGTGAGTTATAGAACTCTTGAGATGAGTTATAGAACTCTTAATGAATTCATTTGGAATGTCACCTATGTGAGCATTTAGAGTGGTGCCGCTCTAACAAAAGTAGAGGTCAACTTTTGTGTATGCTCATAAAACAGGATTAGCACATGGCCATAATAGTGCTACCCTAGTTGGTGGTTGTGGTTTAGAGAAGAGACAAGTACGTGTGTGGCATCTCCGGTTATAGCTTTGGATCGTGACTCCTAGGCTTAAGCCCGTCACTGATTCGTTATCAACTTTGAGTTGCTTACACTAGGTAAAGGTTCAAATCGAAAAGATACCTTTATGTATGCGTTACTTGTTCGAGGCAGGTATTCTCAACTCTTGTTGACTAAGTGGGGGACTGTTAGAGTTAGTCAATAGAGTTGTAATACGACATTGATGGGAGAAGTAAAGTATAAATATGGAGTTTTTTGGCAGTTTAATTAATTAATTAAACGTTGGAATTTTGTGAAAAGAAGTGTCCTTCCATAAAGGTAAATCCCTTTTTCCTGTGAAAGGATGTGTCATTTCGGGAAAGGTAACTACCTTTTATGTGAAAGGATGTGTCTCTTCGGAAGGTAACTTCCAGTTTCACTACTATAAATAGATGACTGCCATAACTCTTTTGATGATGAGAGATTACTTCTTCTTCCGGTTTTCCTTCTCTATTTCACAAACACAGAAGTCTGCAAGATTGCTGCTTCCAGACTTAAAATTGAAGGGACTCCTGGGGGTGATTTGCTCAAGCCTACCAGCAATTTGTAGTGGGGCCAAATAACACTCTAAGG